TCAAGCACTCCAATACCGTACTGACTGTGACTTTGGCGGGAGTGGGGGTGTTGTTTGTTGAAATAATGAATAGTAGATGGCATCATTAAAGTGGAAAGTTTTAATTTGTGATTCCCTGGGGCTGTGTGAGATGAAACACTCTTACTTATCCCTGAAAATGAAGCCAAATTGCTTCCGGAACTTCTTCTGAGAAAGATCATCTAAAGCATCTATTGATATAGCCTGTGAAATAAGACATTTAATGAATGTGTTTTTAACAAAGAATACTATTTCTGTGAGGTCTGTTTTCCTTTCTAAAGCATGTTCTTATCTGTGTAGGGTTCTACCTTTTTTTTAAAAAAAATGTGAGTTACAGGAGGAAGCTTCAGCTTGCCTGGGAAACTCAGAAACTAAAACAGTTAGTTAAAATACCAGTTATTTTTAAAACAATCATTAATGCCACCATAATAGTGTTACTAATCTTTAGACAGCAATCTATCAAAACAAGCTAAATAGTATTAGTGTTTGGTAAGAAGATCTAGTTTAACTTTGGAAACTCTGGGAAGAGAGAGTCCCCTAAACTGACCACTGCTAACATAGCAGAGCTACCTGCTAGGAGAGGAAGCATTTTCAAAACTCTCAAACATTTTAAAAGCAAACTTTCATTACAAACCGGTATGCTAACTACACATCAATTTCATCTACTTATTAAGTCTTCTCCAATGATGTTACAGAAAACAATTGGTTAACTCAGGCTTTATATGTAAAATAAACTAATGTAGTATTTACCAGAATCTATACTCATTCACTTTCTATAAAGTGTCTACTGAACTTCAGGTATTGCTCTAAATCCTGATCAGTATTTGTTCTAGTCTTTTCTTTTGTTGTTGTGGCAAAACACTTTAATCAAAAGTAATTTAGGAGAGGAAAGAGTTTAAATGACCTATACTTCCAGGTCACAATGCATCATTGAAGGAAGTCAGGGTGAGAATCCAGACATAATAACCAAAGAGACATGCTGCTTCTAATTACCTCTGCTCTGTGGCTCATAGTTAGCTAGCTCTCTTATGCAGCTTAGGAACACCTGACAGGAAGTGGTACTACCCACTACCCAGTGGGCTGGGCTCTCCTACATCAATCAAGACAATCCCTCACAGACCAATTTGATAGAGGACACTGTTCAATGGAGAAGTTTTTCAGGTGATTATAGGCTGTGGCAACTCAACAGTTAATGCTAACTAAGACAGTAAGGTCGAAGAGACTGGGACAGAAAATAAACCTGTGACAAAATTAAAGAAGTCACATAGCTAACTATGTAGAAATAAAACAGTAACAGATAGAAACTGAAAGGGTAGGGGCTCAAGGAAGTATGACATTATTATCTCTGAAGTTGTGATTGGGCTGAGACCCAAGTGATAAGATAGACATTCCTGAGTAATTTAGGAAATAGGAAACTCAAGTTATGAATACCTGACCTATAAACCAGCCAGCACATAGGAACAGAAATAACACACACACATACACACACACACACACACACACACACACACACACACACACACACACACGTTAAATAAATGAATGAATGAATGAATAAATAAATAATAAAAATAAATAAAACAGCAACAACAACAAACACCCAAACCTAACATTTGAGGGGCCCAGAGCAAGAGTACAAGCCGAGGGCCACATACTAAACGTTTAAAAATTATACACTCCAAACAAACTAGTTAAAGACAACAAACTAAAGATGTTCCATCCTACCTTAATAACATTCTCTTCAGCAGAAAATGGTAGTCTGAGCAAAGCTATCCTCTCTCTAACCTGTCCCCTTCCCCTGGGTTCAAACCCACAAGACTTTACACATCCCCAGATGTGGGCACCCCAACCTGTTCATCCAAGCTCATTTATACACATTCTTCTTCAGCCACTTATCAACCTAAGCCAGACTCTACTTTCAAGGGTAAGCCAGTCAGCAGTTACGCTATCCTGTGATAACAGACTCTCCTAATCATCAGGACTTAGTGTCTGTGATGAATAACTGTTTCCCCCAATTTCACACTCCAAGGAAGGAAAATATGAAACTAATAATTATTTCAGGATTAACTAATTTTATGTATCAGTCACTCTTCTAATTTTTCATATTCCACTGAGGTTGGTATTAGGTAGACATATTGAGGTTGAAAGTTTAATTTATTCAGGATATGTGGCAGAACTGAAATAAGAGATTATATTAGAATTCTAAAATCTGTGCTATAAAAGACATACATCCTAACAGCAATTACTTAGCACTTGTCTTCAAAACACAGACAAACTAAAAATGTTCTAGAGAAAGTAAAATTACCATAAAACCAAAATAGCTTTTACCTAACAATACCTTAACATTAGATTTAAGTACATGATGTTCATCTCAGTAATATTTATCACTAAAAAAAGCAGATAATTGAATAACAGTCCATCAATATCCTTCCTTATCAATTCCCACACTTCTCAGTTCCAAAACCTACTGTTGTGGAATATTAGTTTAAGATGTGTTACACTCATTTATATTGTGGAATATTTGTGTAATGTAATGATTCAAAGATGTGTTACATTCTTTTATGTTGCATTTATTTAACTCTGTAAAGCTGTGTTACTTTGTCTGTTTTCAAACACCTGATTGGTCTAAAATAGAGCTGAACGGCCAATAGTTAGGCAGGAGAGGGATAGGCAGGGCTGCCAGGCAGAGAGAATAAATAGGAGAAGAAATCCAGGCTCTAAAAAAGAGTGAGGATGGAGAAAGGGAAGGAGAGGAAGAAGCCAGGGGCCAGCCACCCAGCCACCCAGCCAGGCAGCCAGTCATGAAGTAAGAAGTAAGAAGGAAAGAAGGGTATATAGAATAAAAAAAAAAAAGTATAAAGCTCAGAGGTTAAAGAAAAATGAGATGTTAGAAAAGCTGGCTAGAAACAAGCTAATCTAAGGCCAGGTATTCATAAGTATGAATAAGTCTCCATATATTTATTTGGGAGCTGGATGGCAGGCCCCCAAAGAGTAAAAAAATAAAAATAAAATAAAGCCTACCTTCTTTTTTCTCAAAATTATGAATCAGATCAGATTCTCACTAGAAACGTCATTACCTATTAAAGAGCAGATTCAAATATTTCACTCTTGAATCCCAACCCATATCCACCAAGTTAACCCAGAAAAGTTTCATTACAGGCATTTATCAGTTGCATGGCAAACCACCACTCTGATATTCAAGCTTAGGCATTTATATTACATCTACAGGCAGATACAGACGTCCAAGAGGTCCCAAACCCAGTAAAATTTAGTATTCAGAAGACCTCAGAAGTCACTGTCACAACAATAATACTGAAGGTCAAGACCTTGGGTAAAATTATCTAGAAAATGTGTACAGCAGGAAGAAATTTATTCTTTGTCATCCATTTAACAAATTGTCATTGTTACTCGACTTAGAAAATGAGAATGGTTAGCTCACAATAGCTTCTTGCTTGTCAAATACAACCATCTACTTGCAACCCCAAGCATGGCTTACTTACTTTTACTTGCATTAACTTAGTTGGCTACTCTTTCATTGGAAAGCTTCCCTGTAGTAAAACTGGAATCTCTACCCCTTCTTCCTTCCATTTCAGTCTCCATTACTAAAGTCAGAACTTGGCAGTCTCAGAAGTTCATCCTTGAGCACTAAATCTAACTCCAGTATTCCTGCTGGTAAATAACTAAAATTCAACACGTAGCTTAAACTAAAAATTGTGTTGGTCATACAACATGGACAATACTATCCATCTTGGGGTGTTCTGATCTAACTTGTGAGGCTCAAACTTGAATTGCGAAGGTATTGATAAGTACTCTATGAAACATACAGCACTAGCATTAAGGCAGGAAAGGAAGAATTATGGGAACGTAAAGGAAAGGAGCCCCTTACTCAGAAGTTTAAGCTCGTCACCAAGTTAGAGACAATCAAGAATTCCAGTACAATTAACACTTGCTATGAAGACTGCCAACATCCCTTTATATAAAGATATTTCATGTTGAACTAGCAGTAGATCTTGCTTAAGGTTCAAGCCTCTATGCCCTTCAAGTAAGGCCTTAGTCCTTTCCTAGGTATCTTCTGGGAATCTCATAAGAGTACTAACTGTTTCCAGAGAAGTTATCCTAACTCAAGCAATCTTGGAGTCTGGAGTTTTACAACATCAATCGTAATCTTGTTAGCTATTCTTCAGGAACCACTTTACAATCTCACTTAACTCCTTAGCAAGCCATCAAAGGCAATGCCTTCAAAGGTCAGCAAAACCCTGTACATAAACATTGTGAGGACAATGAATTCTTCTTCCAGCTTTGCTCCATACTGGCTCCTCTTAGGATTCTTTTCCTTGGTGTGCCTAAGGGTCCAGCTTTGCACGATGGGAAGTCTCTCAAACTCTTCAGGTTGCTGCGGGCGACCGCCTCGGTAACTGGACAAAGTTAAACAATTTTAACCACTTTATGACTTGTATGAAATTTTATCAGTCTTACACCACAATGCTAACTTCTATCAATGAACACTCCTATTTCCTGGTGTTACTCAGGTTACGCGCACTAACTACTTTTCTCCGAATCCCTCAGGGCTCGGGGGGGGTTAGCTCAAAGTCGCAGACACAATGCCGCAAATGCCACACCGCGGACACATTTCTGCAAATCGTAAACGCTTCTTCAACAGGTCACGAGTGGAACCGAAAATTAAGAGGCGCCAAAAGAGCGCGACACGAACAACCACCCTGCCTGTCTGCAGACGGCTCAGAACAGAGGAGGGGGACGGCACGACACAGCTCGAAAAACAAGCAATAAGTTACAGCGTTTATCTTTCCCGCGGGCTCTTGCGGGACCAACCGAACGGCCCTCTGTCGGCTTCCGCGCCCGTTCCGTCCGCGCACTTTCATGACGTCACCGCGCCAGGTATCGCGGTACCACCCTGCCGCGGCGGCCCCTTCACAAAAGTCTCGCGAAACTTGTTCCCCGGGCCCGCAGCTCGGCTCTCGCCCTCTTCCTCGCCACCCCTACCCTGGCTTCTCTCTCTCTCTCCCAGTCACAAAACTTCCCGCGTCCGGTTCCTCAAGCCTCGCCTCCTTCCTCCCAGTTCCGACTTCAGACCGGAACTGGAAGTGTGGTGGGCGGGGCCCGCCGACGGAAAGCGCTGAGGAGCCGAAGCCGGGACTCGGCTGTGGCCCCGGTCGGTCCCGCGCCACGGAGCGCCCGGCGGCGGCGCGGCGCGGCTCGGGGCTGAAGGGCGGCGCGCGGGCGGGTGGGCGGGCGCGGCCCCCCGGGCGCCGCGGGGGATCATGTCGACAGCCTCCGCCGCCTCGTCCTCCTCCTCGTCTTCTGCCAGTGAGATGATCGAAGCGCCCTCGCAGGTCCTCAACTTCGAAGAGATCGACTACAAGGAGATCGAGGTGGAAGAGGTGAGCGAGGCCGGGCCCTGCAGCCCCGCGCCGCCTCGGATCGGGGGCGGGAGGCGGCTTCCGGACGGGCTGCGTGGTTGACTTTGAGTCTGTGACGCTCTACCCGATTACAGATGTGGTCCACTGTTCGATTATCCGTAAATAGATCGGGCACAGTTTGACGGCTGCGGAGTCTCGGTTCGCTGCTGGTGGTGTTAAAGGCCAAGGGTGACTGTGTGTCTGTGTCCGTCTGTCTGTCTTCTAGCGTGCTGTGATACGAAAGGATGCTCGGGACAGGCTGGTAAAGAGATCCGTCTCACGGTGCTTTGCCTGGTCCCGGCTTCTTTCTGAGGTACCATAGAGTAGTTCTGTCTTCTTTTGAGCTAATGTAGATTAATTCCATTCTTTAGCGACATGAGTCTGTTATGACAAGATGTTTGAAATGTGCAAAGAAAGTGGCACATTCTGCAGAGGCGAGTAATGATGATGGTGATAGTCAGAATATAACACTACACCAGAAGTCACTGTTAGAAAAACCGAATAAGTTAAACCTTCAGTTGGAATTTCAGAACAAACGTTTCAGAGTGTCTTCAATACATCACCTTTTTTCAGATCCATAGTGGGGTCAGTTAGTTCTAGAGTCTTCATTTTTACAAAAGAAAAACTGTGTATATATGTACATATATACATATATACCTAAAATGCAGCTTAGAACTCGTTAAAATTTTGGTTAGAAATGGTTTCATGCAGTTACTATGAGTTTATCCTATTTTTAAGCACTTTGTGTTTTCTGTACCTCAGTGTGTGGTTTATTGAAGTAAAGAGTTAAGAGTTGCAAGCTAATTAACACTCAACACATACATGTTTACCTTAGATGATTATTAAGTCTTATCTTGTTATCACAGAAAGAACTTTAGAGATCACTGTGATCGTTGAGAACATGGCTGTCTTACAAGTGTGATAAGAAGAGTGAGGTTTAAGACAAGAGGGTTGGGGGGTGGGATAGACCACTGTGTGACTTGGTTTCTGTCTGCTCTCTGAGTGTTAGTTTCCTTAGCTGTAAGATGGGAGTAATTGCTACTTTTTCAGCGTGACAAATCCACTTGAGCAGTGTATGCATAAAAGCCAAAGTAGTGTCTGACATATAGTTTAGGAAATAAAGTTCAGGAGAGGAAGGGCAACCTGCTTTAAGGTCAAATGCTAAAAGAAGGCCTTTTTTTTTTAAGAGGAAAACATTTATATGTGAGGGTTTTTTTCCCCCCTCTTTGAAGCTAAGATAAATTCCTCTTTTTAGAAGCGGGTAGTTGATCCAGCTTTCATGGATAACATTCTTTTTTAAGACTAAAATTTCAGTGAGTCATTATACAAGAATTGCAGTTTTTAAATAAGCGTTTACATGTACTCTGGCGAATTGCTGTGCTTGGAGACTACAAATTGTTATATAATAATAACTTGTACTTCATGGTCTACCACTTGTTTCCATAAACTTCCTCTGTTTGATTCTTTTTTATGCACTACTCTTTAAAGCTTTCACACTCTTGCTTCATTGAGGCCTGCAAGTTGCTAAGGGAGACAGTAATCAATTGAATGCTCTCAACCCAAAGCTGGCCCACTTTTGAAATGTGTTTCATTTTAGTGCCTAGTTTATTTTCATATTCTTGATTTAATTCAGGCCTTGCTGGTGTCAGAACCATTACATACTCTCCACTATAGTCTTCATTTGAGCCTGTCATACAGTGTTGTATAGGCAGTGGTGCACCACTAGCACTCAGTAGCTATTCTTCAACTTACATTCCACCTCTAGTTTAAATCATAAATAGAAAAACAGAAAGATGACCCAACACAAAAACAATCTTACATTGCTTTCAGTGTTTTATATGGACAAGTATATCACCTTTTAAATTAAGAAAATAGTGGCTCGGGGTGTAACTCAGGATAGAATTCTTGCCCACCATGCTTGAGGCTTTGGCTTCAATTGCAGCACACAAAAAGTGAGTTAAGAGAACCATATTATTTATTTCTCAATAACAATATAATGGAATTAGCATTATACAAAGATAATTAGAAGCTGTGGTTAAAAAAAGCAATCTAGCTACAGAGCAGATGTGGAATCATTTAATAGATACACATTTCTAAGACAGCAGATGCTTTCCATCACTGCATTCTTAGTATTGCCGCTCTTCACTATCAACATTTAACTCTGCTGTCAAATTTATCAGTTCTCTGCTTCAGAAATCTACATGGGTACTTAACTCTTAAAAGTCATTCAGTTTTTAACCTTCTTGTACTTGAATGAAAAAAATTAGAACTATAGATGGCATTGAGGGTGAGATGGTTAAAAAAAAATCAATGTGGTTTGGTGAAAAATGTATTAAGCTGAGTATGTGGAAAATTAGGTGCTGTATGGATTATGTCAGAATATATTTAGACAGGTCATTCATTTTGGAGACCTGTGATTTCTCTCTTGAATTGACAGGACGGGATCATTTGTCTATTCCAATTGTAAAATAAATAACCTGTATCTTCCTGTTCTCCACAGTAAATTTAGACATTCTCAGACAGTAGTCATAATCTCCCAGGTAAGGGGGTTGGGTAGACAGCCCATTTTATAGATACTGACTAGTGATCATAGAGTTTGATTTGCCAAAAGTAACATCAGTGGTAGAGCTGGGTGTTTGAACTTTCTCACTCATGAGTCCCTTGTTCTTTCCTCTAGATTTACAATGTCACTGCAGTACTCCATAAAGGAACCTTATTCTAGAAATGAAGATACAAAATACTGATTTCCTTCATAGGAGTTGGTCCTCCTCATCTGACATTTTCTTGTCTATACAGTATGCTAAGGCTCAATGGAAGAATCCTAGGATTAATTACATTTTCAGAATCATGATGTCACAGTTGTAGATGTGGTATAGCTCAAGCATATAAGCCATAACTTGACAGTTGAGTGACCCTCAGCAGCTCCAGTAAGTGGAGACAGGATTGAAGCTAGATGCGAAATAAATTCACTTTCGTTGGTTCAAAATATCACTAGTGAATAATTGTCTTTGCCCTTGTTCCTCTGAGCATCACATAACTAGTTCCTTCTCACCATTCAAGTCCTACCACAAATGTTCCTTCCCTAGAGAAGCTCTCCCTAATCAACTTGACTTTGTTATTTGTGTTGTCCTTTGTGGCACTTACCTATAATTGAACTGTGCATCCCTCTGAGACAGATGTGAAGTTTTATTTACATTTCTAACCCTAGTGCACAGCACCTAAAGGTGTTCTCCATTGTTAACTGTTTGTTGAGCCAGTAAACAATTATCACAGCAAAATTATGAGAATTACATGCACATCTGGTTTTCTTGTATGTGGTAAATCAAAGGTTAATTTACATAATTTGCCTAAGCCAGCATTTACACGAGAAATGAGATCTGGCTCTTCCCAGTCTTGATTCCCTTCTACCCCATTATACTTAGCAAATACTTAGATTTAGCAGGGGTAAAAGATACTATGAAGAACCAGGTGCTATGAGTGAGTCAGTCATTAAGATGGACTTTAACTTAAGTACATAGACTGTATTTATAGGGGTTACTCTGTAAAAGAGTCCCAGAATGTTGACCACAACCAAGGATATTGGACATGTACAATCACTCTTTTTATGTGTGTGCTTATGTTTTATTGAAGAGGCACAGAAAAGGTTTTGTTTTTAAAGCTAAAATATTCTAGGATGAGACTATGTAGAAAAAACATTAGCAGTGACTATAAACTGTTAGGCAACTAATTCTAGAGGAGAGCCTAAAATTATAGGGCCTGAATAAACTGAGTCTGTGGGTTTGTTAGTGGCTAGTTAAAAATATCCAAAAATAATCAGTACGTTCTTCTATGTGAAACTGGTGGCCACCGATCTCAATAGAAATCGGGAATGGTTACAATAAAGAAATGGCTACAGAGATTGTTTGTGTATCATACACATGTTGCTGAACAGATAATCTGAGCATATCATTTAAAGGAAAGGCTCATTAAGTGGGTCAGGTAGGTATTAGTTGCTTTTACATTGCTATAATAAAATATCATGACCAAAACCAACTTACAGAGGAATTGATTTTGGCTTACAGTTGTAGAGAGTTAGATGTTGATGGTGAAGACATTTTGACAGGCTTTAAAAGACTAGAAGAACAAAAAACCGAAAGCTTCCTTTTTATGTTATCAAGTCTGTCTTGTCAGCAGTTCTACTCTGTGACAGTTTATTAATAGATATTGAGGCTCTGAATAGCTGGAGACGCCACGTCCTAACTAATGAATTTAGGATCTATGCTTGTTCTGTCATGTTCCAGATTTCTTGCCAGAATAATAGTAGCATAGCTAGGGGTCCATTCATCCAGTGCATAGAACAGAGCCAGACCAAACTGACAGCCATAGTCACTGAACTAAATAAAATGGAGACAATTAACATGAATCATCTAATGTTCAATTGAGAGTCAAGAGTGTACAGCCTTTTCCATTACTTTAGTTTAGGTGTTTAGGTGTTGGTTTTTAATCTTATTTACATGAAGGAAAGGAGTAATTAATGTTTCATACTTAAAGGAATTAGGCTGCCTGTGTGCATGTTCACATCTATGTAGGTGCACCTGTATACACATGTTCATGGAATCCAGAAGACCTACAACCAGAGTTCTTCCTCAAGTACCATCAACCCTCTTAGGACAAAAAATCTCTTGCTGGCCTGAAACTCACCAATAAACCCCAGGGGTCTGCCCATCTTTGCCTCCCCGGTGCTGCAGTTACAAATGTGGGCCACTACACCAAATGTTTTAAATTTAGCTTTTAGGTTTGAACTAGGTCCTCATGCTTGTGGAGCAAAGACTTTACCAACTGAGCTCTCTCCCCAGCCAAAAAAATTAATATTTTAATTGTTTTTTGTGTCTTTAAGTAGTAAATGCATGATGATTACTCTATATACCATCTCATTTATTTATTAAGGATTAAATTTGAATCTGTTTTACGAAGCTAAATTGTTTGAAAATCAAAAGAGCTAA